GGGAAGGCCTATATGACATAGTGGATCGTCTCTCAGATGTGACTTTTCAGATAAAATGTGGTCGGCGAGGTAAGCCAAAAGTGGTGGATGCCAACAGGCTTTGGCGTTATCACTGTCCAGGACATTTCAGTTGGGACGAAGTGAACAAAGGAACAAATGACGCTGCTGAAGAAATGTCACCTGAAAAAGCCACTGTCGAAGAAGAAACTCTACTCAGTTTTGAGAAGGGAAACGGTGAAGCTCTTGATGAAGTTACTACCACTGATGTGACTGTTACTGACGATAGGACATTTCCTGATGAAGCAGATGAACCTCACGTGAAGCAAAAGCCAACGAGATGGAGACCAGTACGGAAGAAGATACGTCTCGTAAAATTAAGAGACTTTGTTGAATTGTAATTTTGAGTTTGTAATTCTGTACATTTAATTAAGTTATTGTTAATTGTTATTGGTTTAATGTAAGTGGCTATTGTTCGGGACGAACAATACTAAGGAGGGGGCAGTGTTGCGTCAGCGAGGTCACGTGACAAGTATCACGCTACCTCCTTCTAGAAATATCCTGTTCCTTCGTGAATTGTCGGGAGACTACTAGATTGGGGGTAGCTGGTATATGTAATATGGTCACAACGTGACGAAAGGTGGAGTAGTTGAACTGCAGTCAGAGAATGTGTAATTGAACTGAGTATTGTTGAAGTCGAGCACGTGAGACGTTTGTTTTAGCGCGACTGTTGAACTTAAGTGTATCGCAACGTTATATTCAGAAAGATTAAACCAGTTTTATTAAAGAAAGGACTTGTGTCGCTAAAGTTTCGTCGGAACGAATTTACGGAAAATTAACTAACGAACCGAGACGTAACAACGATTTTAGATTTTGCTGAAGATCTTCAAGGATTGAAAACCATTCCTATCGGCACCCAGGTTGAATCCATAGACTTACCGCAGTCCCACCGGGGACTCAAAGAAAAAAGCAGTACAAAATGACACGATCTCTTCAAGGGCATTTAACAACAATTAAAACCTAAAGGTACTGATACACTGCAGCCATTGAGAAGAGCAGGCTGATATCGTGCAAAAAATTGTACCACATATATTCAGCATAATTGCTTTTGGTAATTGTATAATATAATATTATGTGCACGCTGGTAATTTTGGCTGTGAAACATCTGGTGAAGACTCATCCCTTTGCACCAAGAACATTGAAGCCTCCCTCACCTTCACTTCTGCTCCATTAAATCATAAAGTTGTAATGAAATGCACGAAGAAATAAGCCGGTATAATGTTTACACATTATTCTGTGCAGTATACATACTTACATGTAGACACATATATGGAATGATAATTTGGACTCCAATATTATCGTATGACCTATCACTTTCTTTGTATAAAACATTCAACTCTTACACTTACACTTGTATAACTATATATATTATAGAAAATAAGTGTAGATATTTTGTTGTATCAACACTAGCAGTAAACATTGCTGGGTATTCGCACTCCCCCCCCCCCAAAAAAAACTATTATTTGATGCTTGATACTCCTGAGGGGGAGGGTGGTATTAAAACTTCATATTCTAAGTATAGCTTATACGCCACAATCTGCTGATTATGTGGTTTTAAAGGCTTTTGTTTTTCAATGCTATTCATCAGCAGATCTATTTCACGTAGGACTATTATTCAAACAGTAACTCGAAACATAAATTAAAAATATTTTGAGCCTTTTTCATGACCTGAGCAAATTGTATTATGTTTGTCCAATTCAAGTCGTATTTATGCAGTCTTTTTTAACTATTCTTTGTAAAATATCTCGAAAAGTTTTAAATTTAATAATAGTCCATAAAAATTAGTACTTTTAATTCACATTACAAGTTGATGGAGTGCATATGTAGCTCGTTGAATTACAGTTTACTAAAAAAAAGAAATAAAAAAAACACTTAACCCTATAACCAATAGGAGCGTAAAACGTAGCAATATACTGGTGCAGGGGTCTCTTCAGTGTCCAATGCGGTATGAAAACGTCAGCAATAGATGGGTATCAATTAACCAACCATGTCTTGAAACTTTCTATGATACCGAGCATGTTGGATAGTGCTTAGGTTAAACTAAAGTTAGGATCGGAGAGGTGTTGTGCTTCGTATATTATTACTAAGGGTAGTTTTACGAAATGGCTGTAAAACTAAAAGTAAAGTTTGTTTTATTTGTTATTATTGTTGCACAGGTTATAAGTTCTTCGACAGCACTTAAAGGTGCAGTTTCTTTAGATTCTTGGACATTTGACAAGGTGAGAAAAGAAAAAATAAATTAGCCTATTTTAATTTATTATTTAATAAATAACAAAGGCCAACTGCTACTGTACTACTAGTAGTAGTGCTATATTATTATTAAAATTAGTGAAATACTGCTGGTGGTAAAACTAAAATTGTAAATATTAGCAAATAACTGTATGATTGAAAAGTACTGGATATAGCATGGTTAGTTATAACCTGTAGGACATTAATTTATTTACATCTTTGAACATTTATTCCAAATTGCATGCATAGTTGAGAAGGCGGGTGCCTTTTGTATATATTTAATGTTTTTCATGTCTGGCTTTTGCATACATTTCAGATATTACATAACAAATATTTAATAAGAATAATAATTTTAGTTGTTTTTCACTTTCTGATAATACTGAGTGTGTGAAAAAGAAGTAGAAATGAAATTAAGCAAGCCATTAATTTCAACATGTAGAGGCTAATATTTATAATGTATGTTATTATAAATATTTTGTCCTGCAGGTCATTGCCAAATATAAGACAACTTTAGTAAAGTTTGATGTAACATATCCTTATGGTGAAAAAGAAGATGAATTTGCCAAAGTAGCAGAAGCTGCCCGTTTCTCTTCTGATTTACTTATTGCTGAAGTTGGAATTCAAGGTAATGAACTAACATTTAGTTTTAGTGATGGTTTTTTTAATACTGAAATTAATGTGGCAGTTCTTTGGTTCAATTAGGTGAATAAGCACAAGTTTACTTGCGAGGAAAACTATCATTTTTACAGAACTTCTCTAATAGGTTAGCATGAAATTGTAATAGCATTATGTAATAATTTCTTACAGAGTTGCTGCAATTGCAAATCCACAATAACAATTAGTAATAAATAGTCTCCATCACGAATAACATGCAAATGGCAAAAAACTTGTGTAACTGCTCTGCCATAAGTCATCATTTGGGTACCCATTGCTATTAATAGTATTTGTGGACCTTAACCCAAGAGCACCTCTTTTAACCTCTTTACGAAATTACAAACTGAAGCAGGATTGTCACATAAAGTTTCATTCTGACTACACTTGGCCAACATAGTTGCTACTAAGTGAGAAATGTAATATTGTATATTAAATCTGTCTTGTGCTATAAATAACTAAAATACATATTGAATTAATTAAACGTAATACTGTAAATTACTATAAAGTACAGAAATGCATATAAATTTAAGTTTTATTTAATATGTATGGCAAGTTCCAGCTATAAGCCCAACTTCTACAGAACAATAGCATAGCCTATATGTATCTGTCAGGTTTTACTTGTTTTAGTCTACTATAGCATATGAAGGTGACCTTGCTAAAGTATGTACAATGGCCTGTTTGGTAAAGCTATGTTAACTTCTAAAGCTTTATGATAGTCTTTTTTTTTTAACTGCATTTAACTGAATTTACCACCAAATGGTGTTCCCTGTGTCTGTTTAAGGATGTGTGAACCATGTCTAGATGGCCTAAAGTTTAATTCCCATTACTACCAAACTTGCACACCCTGTCGTTGTTTTAGCAAAGCTAATAAGTTATTAATCTTGAACTGCTCGCTTGTAGCACCAATTTGTTCTTGCTTGTATATACCATGATTTAAGGAAAACTGTGTGAAAAGATTAAATCAAATGTAATGGATTAATTGGTTTGTTGATTAATTAGCAAAAACCACTACTTGCCCAGCTCATTTTAATACTATAGGGACAAGGAATCAGTATTTCTTAACATGTGTAAGTATGTTTTCACGTGGAGCATGTGTTTGTAATGTTAGTTTAAAGGTTTAGCTTTGATATGGCAAAAAAAAACTATTTATAAAACACTTGCCAATCTGCTTAGAAAAATCAGGTTCTAGATTGTATTCACATCTTATCATTATGTGACAGTTTATGTGGTTACTTTCAATTATGCTCACTTGTGGCTGAACTAAAAATGTTAGTATTAAAATGAAGTAAAAAAGATTCTCTTTCTATTGATGGAATATCTCCTGAATAATGTCATTAATTCTACAAGTAAGTTTTAAAGAATAGAGATGCATTTCCACAAACTGTTGCAAAGCAAAATGTTGTGTAACAACAAAAACAAGGTTTTTACTAATTAACCTGCCAAGATGCAATAGTGTATATGTAGGTTACATGATGTCCCATAGAAAGAAGTTAAAGAACATTCAAGAAGCTCGAAATTGGAAAATATTAACTTCACTTTTGCATCACACCGTTTGAATACTAAGCATTAAATCGTCCAGATAAAAAAAATAAATAAATAATAAATGTCTCTAAGTAACTAAACTTGGAAGTTTTAGAAATTAAAAAAAAGTTCAGGCAAAATTCTAAACAACTAAATCAGCTTAATGCTAGCACGTTTAATTTAGGATACAGGTTTAACTTGTATGGGGTCATAGAGTAACCCCATATTGGCATTCTAGGGTTGAGACCTTATCACTTCACTTGTGCTTCAGGGTGAGTGTCAGTTACTTCCAATTCTTTGGATAAGCACACACACACCTGTTTACAAATTAGTTCAGTCTGTACCTGATAATGCCATTTACTGGTGAAACCATGATTGTAATAAATATTTGTGAAATATGCAGTTGTCTTTGTTTTCTTCGAAAATTAATTAAAAGAATATTTGTTCTTTACACTTGTCAAATAATCAATTATATAGACCCTGTGCATTTTATTTTTTTTGGCAGATTATGGGGATAAAGAAAATTCAGATATTGGTGAACGTTTCAATGTGAAAAAGGATGATTTTCCAGTACTAAAACTTTTTGTGGAGAAGTCAACAGATCCTATAACTTACACAGGAGATTTTAAAGCGGATGCTATAAAGGCTTTCATTCGACAACATTCCAGTAAGTTTTGTTGTTGCAGTGATTATTTTGGCTATTCTTAGAATTATATCAGCATGAGGAAATGGTGTTAAAATTACTGACAAAACTTAAGAAGTTCCAATTATCATTATCAATAAATATAATTTTAATGTTTTTTTTTTTAAGATACCAAGTAAACATTTTACATATTTATATAAAAAAAAAACAACAGGTGTGAAATAATAATGCTTAGATACGGCTTGAATGGGTAATGAAGAAAAACTTTTCTTCATTACCCATTCAAGCTACCTCCAAGCATTATTAGTCTCAAAGTGGGTTCCTTGTTATCAAAGGTGTGAAATAGTATGATTCAAATCACAAAAGTAAAATAACCCAAATGTTTTCATCCAAAAAAAATGTAGATTTAAAAACAAACTTCCCCCTGAAATTTCTTTCTGACTTGAGCCAAGTCATTTGGTACCATTGGAATCCTACCCAGAAGCAACATAAGTGTTCAAATTAAGTAAGGGGTATATAATATTATCTTGGACACATAGGTAGTATTCAGTAAATGTTTTTTTTTTTTTTAGATGTCAGACTGGTGCTTAATAAGTGTTTACCACAGTTTGATGAGCTAGCAGAAAAGTTTGTATCAACAGAAAAAAAAGAAAAGCAGGAAAAGATTCTTAAAGAAGCTAAAGATTTAGCAGCAACTTTAGATAAAGAAGAAGAAAGAAAATATGGGGATGTGTATGTGAAAATGATGCAAAAAATTATTGAAAGAGGAAATGGATTTGTTGCTAGTGAAGCTGAACGTGTGAAAAATATAAAAAATGGAAAGATTACTGATGCAAAAAAAGAAGAAATGCAAGGAAGACTTAATATTCTGGAGTCATTCAAACAAAAAGATGAGTTGTGACAGAACTTTTAAAAACAGCTAAGTAAATATAAATGAACAGTCATTCCATTCTGCACATCATTTAAGTAGCAATATTAATGTGTGTTGTATTGTTTGATTTATTTTACACACTACTAGTGCTAAGAAATTAGTCACAAACAGAATTTCTAGTGATTTAATTCTGTTCAGTTTTCGTAAATCAATACTTCTTCCAATAGTATTGTTGTTGGCAGCACCATTGTCTCTTCCAAGATTTCAGTTTAATCTCCTCAAGTTGTAGTCATAACTGGTTTGCTTGAGGACAATGTTGTATCCTACCAACTGTCCCATAAATAAAAATCCTTTATATGTCATTCTCAAAGTGAAATGCAGCTCTCATTTATAAAAAAAATTCTGTTCTTAAAAGCAAATCTTATATAATCACTAAATGTCATGCTTGAAATTGGTTTTCTACTCCATTTGACAAATTCGATGTTGCACAGTTTTTATTTGTTTTTTACACATGAATAAGAAGTGTGTATTAAGTTATTCAAGGAAACCTAATTACAAAAGATCCCTAGAAAAGCTTAGTTCCCCCTTTTTTTACTTCTAGAGGGATATCTTTCACTCAGTCTTTATTATACACCCACACTTTTTTTTTCATTCATGTAGTCTTAAGTTTGATCTTTAAATGTTATACTATTTGATATTTAAACCGTATTTCTATAATATCAAAAAAAATTTTGAACTGATACATTTTTATAGGCTTTCACTATAATTTTCAAAAACTAAACATCTTGCAAACTTTAAAGCCATTACAAATAACTTATTTTTTAAAACCTGACACTTTTATCTTTAAGTTGCTCCTGTTTCAAGGTGTAGTTAGGTTTAGAAAATGGACAGTTTAGTACTGACCAAAAAATGTTTCTTTCTTGTTAGAAGTCTAAGCAGGTTACAGGTTATTTTGTGTTTTAATTGTAACACATCTGATATTCAGTTTGTTTTTACAAGTTCAGAGCACTTTACACTTTCAATTTTCCACTTTATAGTCAGACGAGCAAGTAAATCTTGATAATTTAAATTATTTGGATCTTCATCTGATATAAATGAAGCATGATCAATGAAATGAATGTTTATAATTATTAATTCAACTTAGTATTGCTAAGCAATAATTTTCATAATGAATTACTTTTAGAATAATTCAGTAATTTTTTTTATTTTAATAAGTGACCAAAGCATCAATTTTGTATGATTATTAACTCAGCTACAACTTGTTTGCTTCAGCAGTTTTTGTGTATGTAAGAAAAATTAAAATCTACTAGACACCTATTAGCAATTCATAATAGCTTTTTTTATTTGATTTTAGCTTTATGCCCATTTGTCAAAATTGTAGCAGTGGGTGAGTCTAACAGGGTGATTACATGGTATTGAACAATATAAAACACTGAAGTTATTAAAATGATTAACAATATTTCAACCTTAAAAAAACCAACTATACATAACATTCCAGTAAATGCTAAGTTCATTCAAAAACCATGTACTAAATTAAAATCTACTCTGAAAAACAAAATATTAATGTTACTTATAAAATACACAGTTGACATGATTTCTATATAGGAGAAACAAGTTGAAAAATGGACACTAGATTCAATGAACACAAAAACTCGACCTCCCATGTTTTAGAACATTGTATCTCAAATAAATGAAATACAACAATAGAAAATACTAACATATTAAACAAATGAAATATTAAAGAAGCTTTTCTAATACATTTACAAGAACTTAAACCTAGACTGAACCAGTACAAAGGAACACTTTTACACCTATACTAATTATTTCATCAAATGGTAATTACCATATATAATAGATTAAATATATGCATCGCCCCCTACAGTGTTATATCTATCATTAGTCATCCCACATATGGTCACTTTTTCAAATCTCATCCTAAATTGTTAAGCTTCTTCAAAATATTTTGCTAGAACATTCAAGATGCTAATGTCTAATTGGCTCTTTACAAATGACATACATCAGTTGACTTGTCTTCAGACATAACACAATGGCCCTAAAAGTTGGTATAAACACAATTATTCTTCCAGTCAGTGTGGATGTGTTTATGACTAAAGGTGAATTGAAAATCATCTCATTCAACAGAGAGCTGAAAGTAGGTTTGTTGAGACATGTGTTGGAGTGCACAGGCCATCTAGAACTTTCCTGTTTAAGTTTTAAAAATATATCTATATGTCCTTTAACCTTATGCTTATGAGGGTCAAACAACACATCACAATATCTTTACAGTTACATTAAAAAAATTGAACTTTATTATGAACATATCAATTAAAACATGGAATCAAAAAGTATGTTTATAATTCAAAGTTTATTATACAAGCTTTAAAAGGAAATATTTAAATTATCAAACTGTGTCACAGCGTACAACCATTTAGAAACAGATTCTAGATGATGATGTGATAGTATATAATTTTGAACCTCTTTTTGCTTTACCCACTTCATCTTTTAAGAAACGTTTAGTTGTCAGAAATTGCCATTTTCTTATTTCATTTTAGTTTTAGTGGATACAGTAGTTCAAAGAAAAACCTGAAATGTGTTAAAGTTACTGCACTGAGCAGTAATGGAATTTTTTTTAAACATAATTCAAACTTAGAAAGCCAACTAAATTACAGTAATTAATGTACAATTTAGTTAAATGTGTAACATTTCTGGTTTTCTAAAATTTGTATGTGAAAGTTACTTAAGTCTTAAATTTCTTTTATCTAAAATATAAAAATATATAATATGTATTATGTTACATAAATGTAATGAAAAAAATATTTTAAAATGCATTTTTGTCACCATACTTTGTAATGTACAAGAAACATGATAATAGCTAGATGTGCATGATGCAATCTGGTCTGATTACTTGCTATTTCACCTGATCACTTACTTATTATCATGTAACTAAACTCATTTCAAACACAAATAAAACAGTAAAGTTAAGAAGCCTAAAGCTCTTCTGATAAGTGTATTACAACCTGCAATCATTCTAAAAAAAGGGGGCATTTTAGTTTAAATTTTTTTGGGTTTTGCTGCAGATGATTTCAATAGTGTTACAGAAAATAATTTAAGCTGTTCTAAAAGTTTTGTAAATTATGAAAACTCTGATAAAAAGTATTTCTTTTTTAACATGAAACACTTTTCACTCAGATTGACTTGCTAAAGGCATAGTAGATTCATACAAATTTTTAGCAAAAATACTTTATTAAACAGTAATTTTTGTTTGTGTATACACAACATACTTGTAATGTTTAATAAAAACTTTCCAGATGCTATGAACATACATTTAGTAAATTCAGTTACAGCCCATATGTAAAATGAAAATTATAAATGCTTTAACTTCTCTATCACCGAGGTTCCAATATAAACTCATTCGAATGCTGACAAAGTGCGGTGGTGAGCTTTCATGTACACTAGTTTTACATATAGAAAAAGCTAATATTCCAAGAATATTAATTTAAATCAGAAATAGTATTGATTATAACTGGATGCCCAACAGAGATCCAAGGATAGTATGTTATAAACATCAACATATTTAATGAATTCTCTATCCTTTATTTCGTGCCAGAATCGGATGGCATTGACCCTACCTCCATAGAAAGTACCACAAACTCTTTCATGACTTGTGAGGGAATGCTGTAAAATTAACATTAGATTTCATTACATCAAGTTTATCTTCCCACAAGAGCTTTTAAGTTGTTACTGTTTCTCTTGAGTTTGTTTTCTTGTGACCCACAGTGGTGTGTTTGAGATATTTTTTGTGATGGTATCTTAACACCTGTGACATTCATGATAGTAAAAACCATAAGACTTGTAAATAGTGTTTTTTCATTACACAATTAATATTCTCTGTAACCGAGTATTTGTTTTTCTCCACTATCGGGACATACTGAATGGTGCTCTTCTTGAAATTTCTGTATAAAGTTCAACCATTTGGTACCAGCCAGGCTGTAATTATCAGATATACTGTAAGCATGGCTCAGGGGAGAAGATTATGGAGAGATATATACTTGCTCCTGTACATCAACATACATAAGTGATGGTAGGGTATCTAAAGGGAGTCAATATCACACAATGAAAGAAACTTTCTTAGCTCATAACTTTATACATTTATTATTTTGACCTTTCAGCCATGCCTGGCTAACAATACAGAAGTTACAATGACGTGGCTCATGTGCACTCATGTTATCGTATCAAACAACATAAAACTAACCTTGTCTTGCCTGTGTTTTAGTAGACTAGTATTTTGTAAAATAGTCACAATACAATTATTATACATTATATATGTATAGAGATTATTGCTATTTTGATATAAGTTCTTCCTAAAACATATACCAGTAAATAAAGAAGTAAAGCAAACAATTATCTTTTCTAGTTACGACCTTTGTACTCAAGTTGCTGCTTGACGTAGGTTGCTAAGCCTTTAAACATTTTGCACGTGGAGGATATGAAAAAATTTTTTTTT